TGATACACACAGTTTCTGAGGTCTTTTGGATCTGAGACTTTTTGCATAATTCAATGGTAAAAGCTTTGCTCAAACCCCTGTTTTACACATTCAGATATACCTGATAACAGCCAGTAGAAGACTACACCAAAATATATTTTTGACTTATTGCATGCTATTTTGATCAAAATAATCTCTTTCTTTTTTTTCTTCATATGTTGTTGAAGGGCCAAAAAAAGACTACAGACTAAAAAATCCAATATTCTTCCTATTTTTATTGGATCAGGCTTTAAAGGGATAAATGTGACATTTTCATCTCTCTTAGGGTTTAGAAACCTCCATGTGGACGACCAGATGACGGTCATCCAACAGTCCTGGATGGGAGTGATGGTGTTCGCTTTGGGATGGAGGTCTTATAAGAACGCCAACGGCAGGATGCTTTACTTTGCCCCAGACCTCGTATTCAACGAGTACGTACAAGTCTGAATACTTAAATTCAATTTTCTCCCCTGAAAGGATTTCATTAGGGGACGACCAATGTGATGTACCGCTCATTATATTTAGAGATCAACCCCCAATGAGCAAGCTGGTGCTCCCATTTTCTTCATCCCTCTCTCTAATTTGCTTTCCTGTTCATGCATAAACTACAAAAGCATCCGGATTTTTAAGAAAAAAAGGTAAAAACAGGGATGGTTGCAGGCTTTTTAGGACCATCTTCAGCCAATTTCCTCCGTAGGTGCTCTTTTGTTACTGTAAAATTAAAGTCAGGGACATTTTTCCGCTCTCAGGCTCTGTGCAGTCGGGCTGATTTGGATCTGAACACCCCAAATAACAGCGGAGAGGCCTTTGTGTGTGGGGACAACTAATGGTTACAGCAGACGAATTCTTATTTAGTCCCATCAAAGATAAACAGCGTGTGGATGGAGATGAGTTAAATTTGGGATTTATTTAGTGATCGGTATCATCATTTGTCTTGTGACTGTTTCCAGCTGTGTTATAAACACCTTGTGTTGCAGTTTAGTAGAAACAGAAAGTGCTATGAATCTTTTTAACTAGTTAAATATCAGGAGAAATGACTGTCGAGAACTTGAGGAGAAAACGTGGCTGCATTATGCATTCAATTAGATAATATTAAAACCCAAAGACAAAGTTGTTTGTTCATACTCTTTCTGTGTTAATCTTCCATGTAACCAGCCTCAAAGTCTTCAATAAGAAAGAGCTGGATGGTGCCCACAGAAAATTTTCTAAATCATATGACTCTGCTGGGTGGAAATAATGTTTTAAAAGTGTTACTAACCAGCACTGTCAAAAACACCACGGGGACACTTAAGTTTCTTCTTGCGGTTCTTTAATGTGAGCACAATCAGTTGATTCTTTTGGGGTTTTTCTCTTTTTGACACAAGGAAGAGAGACCACAAACCTGAAAGAAAGCTCCAGATCCCCCTACTGAGTTGTGTTACTTGTTGGCGTTTTAGCCTTTTTAGCTCTTTTAGAAAGGCGGACATATTTGGATCACACTGACCTGCATTGACATTCACACAGCCACGCATCTGAATTATTGCTTTTATTCCCGAGCGACTGGGAAATTCAACTCTATTTATCTTTATTTCACATCTCTTTTTTTTTCAATTTGATCTCTCTTGGTGGCATTTCTATTCCAATAGCTAAAATGTGTTTCATTTCAATTTGATCTGCACAGCTTAGGAATGTGAATAAGCTACAAATGATCTATTCCCAGGTTCATAATAAATGTGGAATGATTTCAAATGAGAACAGAAGGCAAACTTTGATTGTGATGTGTTATATTCACTTTCAGGTTCTGGTGAAAGCTGATTACTGAGTCACTTTTTTCATTAACTTGAAGCTGTTGCAACACGACGGGGTTTAGCTGTTGCGGGTTTTTTTAAACATCTGGCCCCAGATGTCAGAGATTACACATCCAAACTGTCTATTGTCATAATGTGATTCAGAGTCAGTGTCCCTGTTATAACCTCTGAGCTTCTTTCCTTCTCGGTAGTGATTCATTAGAGAGCGAACGTCTTCACCTCTCGGAAATTGAACATTATCATTACCCCGCATTCCTCACGCCGAGCTTTTTTTCCGTCGGCAGGAATCGAATGCACGTTTCCACCATGTATGAGCACTGCATGCGGATGAGGCACCTGTCGCAGGAGTTTGTGCTGCTGCAGATAACCCAGGAGGAGTTCCTCTGCATGAAGGCCCTGCTTCTGTTCAGCATCAGTGAGTAGGGGGCGGAGCCTAAACAACACCCGCGCTAACCGTTAGCACGTGATAAAGCAGAGTTTTTTTTTTTTTCTCTGTTTCGACAGTTCCGGTCGAAGGCCTGAAGAGTCAGAAGTACTTCGACGAGCTGCGCCACACTTACATTAATGAGCTCAACCGTCTGGTTAATTACCAGATGACCGCCAGTTGTCCCCAGAGGTTTTACCAACTGACCCGACTCCTGGACTCGCTCCAGATGGTGAGACGCGCCCATTCTGGTCCATTGACACAAAAAGTTCTCAAACTTTGGAGAAAAGTTAGAAAGAGCTTTTTTATTTAAAAAAAATAAAAAAATAAAAAATAAAAATAGAATAAAAAAATATATATATAAAAAATATAAAAAATAATAAAAAATAAAGAATAAAAAATAAAGAAAATAGAATAACAAAAAAAATATATAAAAAATATATAAAAAATAATAAAAAATAATAAAAAAGAAAAAAAGAAAAAAGAAAGAGCTGTGTGTTATAGTTCAGCATTTGTTGGAAGTGTGAGCAGTTAAATCCCAGGAAATCTGTTTTAATCCCTCAAAAAAGTTAAACAAAAGAAAATAGATTACTATTTCATGAGTAGTTGTTTTATGTTACTAAAACACTGCTGTAAGTTTCATTCGAATGACATCGTCTCTGTCTGCTCTTCTGTTCCAGACGGTAAAGAAACTGCACCAGTTTACGTTTGACCTCTTCGTCCAGGCCCAGTCTCTGCACACGAAGGTCAGCTTTCCCGAAATGATAGGCGAGATCATCTCCGTTCATGTTCCAAAGATCCTGGCAGGTTTGGCTAAACCGATCCTGTTTCACAAGTAGGGGGATTTTTTTTGGTTTTTTTTTTTCCATCGGAAAGTGACTCATTTTTGCTGCCTCCATAAACTCTAACAAAGGCTGTGCACTGTTTCCCAACATCGTCGAGCTCATTGCTTTTAACCTTCTCCTGTAAACACAGTTTTGTTCACCTTTTAGCCATAATTATGAGTGTTTATTCGGAACTGGGTTTGCTTTTATCCGAAGAGCTGCAAAGCCTCACCTGCTGTCAGCTCAGCAGTTTCTGTTTGTGCAGAGATGCTACTTTACATATGCAGTAAGCCTTTAAATCAGGATTAAGTAGCAGGGTTAAAAACATGGGGTTTCAGTTGCAACCTTGATTTTTTGATGAAATCCTAAATGCAAAAAAAAAAAGCAGCAAGAAAAACAGCAAACGAATCTTTATGTAAAATAAATCAGCAAAAAAGGTTTTCCATTAGCTTATCCAAATCCTTTTTTATAATTGCTCCCCTTCAAGCCCTCCCTCCGGTTTTCATAAAGTAGTAAATATGTCTTAGGAGAATTTCAGTGCTAAATTCTTATATATAGGAGGTAACGTGCCACCAAAGTTTGGACCCGTTCTTGTAGCTCTTCCTTGAAATGTGGGATAAATTAAAGGACGCCCACAGCTATGCCATCCCTCCATCCATCCGTGGTAACTTATCCATTTTTTGGCGTAGATTTATAAACTACGCTTCAAACACAAGTATGTGTGCCGCTCAGATTTTCTCTGCTGCTCTACAATGCATGAAAGTTGTTTTTAAGGTCTTAAAGTTCTGGAAAAGTAAGGATGGAAAAACAAAAAACTATTTTTCAGGAGATAGTTTGGAATTCTGGGGGAAAAAATCAGTAATTTAATCGTCTTTTGCATAAGTTAGCTAAAATAACCTGATGGCGTTGCCATGATTGGTCTATTGAGGGTTTTTCTGACCTAAAATATAGTCTTTTAGACATTGATGTGTTGTTTTTTTTAACCGAATATTGCTTTAAAAAGAATCCACAGACACTATGCATGCTGTTTAGTAGCCGTGGCTCAGATGATAAAACAATAACACATAGCATCATTATTTATGAACATAATGATGCCATGTGTTCTTATATATGAGAAAAGCCAGTCCTGAAGCAAGCTAACCAACATGCTAGCATGATAAAAGTTCATGATTCAGTCATTCGGCAAACCTCTAAATGTTTGTTCAGAAAAATAAAACAAAAGCTCATAGATATCCACTTAAAAATCTTTCCATTTGGGCCTGGAACGGTTTTTGTATCTTTTAAATTAAATATCCGTGGGATCCCGGCCCTTTTTGTGGGACATCGCGTGGCAGCTGCAGCGGCACATGAGGATTCACTTTCTAAAATTATTCTCAGTGGAAAGAGAACAACTGAAAACAGGCCTTTTCGCTTTGATTCGGTCGTGTAGAGATGCAACTGCAGAAATGTACTCTGTGGACTGAAGCATAAATAACCGGCTATAAAGGACGAGGAGGCAGAACTTTTCTGTTCATGCACATGTAAGGCGTCTGTAATTCAAACCTCATCCTGCCCAATATTACCTTTTCCTGCCCAGTTCCCGTCCCACTTGCTATTACAGTATTTGCCTTTCTGCAGCGCTCTCTGCCGCAAATGGAAAATTATCTCGAGAGTTCAAAAAGGACATGGTTAGATTTGAAATGTAGCGAGAGAATTCATGGGTTGGATCTCTGCAATTCCATAAAAGCTGTCCAGTAAAAAAAACAACAACTGAGGGGTCCATTACTATATCACTAGTTACAACAATGGACCTTGGCACTATACTATGTATACTAGTTTCAGTTTGAGTTTAATTATGTTTCCCTCTGAAATGAGTCGGCCACTTTAAGCATGATGCAGCCATTTAGAAATTTACAGTGAAGTGAATTTAACGTGGATTTCTGAGGCTGATTCCTTCAACAATTCAATTCATATATATTCTTGCCATTTATCAGATTGACTGACCTTTAGTGTTCATGGGGAAAATTATTTCTTTTGCCATGGTGAATTAGTTGTTGGTGTTTTAATGATTATTTAGGCCTTCATACTACACTGGACACAACCGAGGCGGTCAGAAAAAGGCGAAAAGTTGAGTTCTACATGTGTAAATCATTTCAGTTTTCACCTGGAAATCATTCCAGGTGAAAACGTCATGAACGTGCTGCTGAGAATGTACAAAGCTGTAATTGTTTTGTTTCTTTTAATGAAGAAAAAGGTTCCTGATACAGGTTTTATGTCTGGATGCAGCTGCATAACAAAAGGTCCCACCGTGTGTCCAATGTTACTGAAACCCTTTAAGTGTTCAGATTGGGGTTTAAATCGCTTTATTATCCAATGCAAACGTAAGATTTGAAATTCAGTGTCATGACGCAAGTCAGGAAGCTTTGTGGCCTTTTCTGGATGCAGGATTTTGATTAAATAGATTAAATCAGAATTGATTTACACATTAATCATGTTACAACCTGAATTTGCCCCTAAAACAGAAACAAAACCGAAAAAAAAAGTTCAACAATCAAATATTCTGAGGTAAAGCAAAGCAATGTAACAAATTACAAGCTTGAAGCAAAAAAACTGATCAAACCAAACCAGAGGTGTAAGCTGAACTAGTTTTCAGAAACGGGGCCGGAGACGCCCGTCCGATCGCACGGCTGCAGGATTTGTGCCAAATAGAGGCAGATGCTGAATGTCAAAGCCACTTGGAGTGCCAGAGATCTCCGATAAAGGAAATAACGTTCCAACAGGAGAAGTCATGCAAAGTCAGAGCCAATTCCGAGCTGGACGGCTGTCAGATGGAGAGCGTAAAAAGCATTTCGCTGGCCCTGCCGAGTCTCCGAGATGAAAACTAAGAAATAAAATGTGTGGAATGCCTTCGAGATAACCAACAGCAGCCATTCCTGTTGGAAATATTTCCTCCTCAAAATGGGACGCAGTTATTGCCTCTTATGTGCGACTCGGAAATGACCTGGGTGGGAAAACATGGAGCATTTTCTTGATAAAGTTACGGGAAACTCTACTGATATTTGAAGGTTTGAGAGGTAGTAAATAAACACCTGAAACTGCTGTGATCGGTCATTTATCACACTGTACATTTAGCGCCTTTTAAAAGCTCCACACTACATTTTCAAGCTAGCAGATGCATGGATCATGTGTTTTTCTACGATGTGTTTCTGTAACTTTTAGCCGCATGCACAGCCACGCGGGATTCTTCCAATAATCTGTTTATTGTGCACTGGCTGGTATTGTCCTAACTGTTCAATGTAAAGGGCGTTTTTTTTTTTTTTTTTTTAGATAGCATGAAAACATCCTCTTTCGTAGTACCTTGATAAATAGACTTTGACAATCAGTAAGAACTTGTTTTTGGAACGGATAAAGAAAATGAGCTTCAGTGAATGTGTCCTTTCTTCTACACAAATGAATGTTTTTAATGTTCTCAGCTTGTCTTATACAGTATCAGTAATGTGAGAAAGGGGGCAATAAAATACAAAAGCAGCAGCAAAGGAGTGAAGCGATCCTCATGGTTTCTTCATTTTACCCCAACACTTGAATTTATAAGTGTGGAAACTGTTAAATATCAAATTAAAGCCAGATATCATCTATTATGTCATTCTGAATTTTCCTAAATGCACTATAATGGCATAAGATTGTTAACTAGAGTATTTAACGTCATTTTAACTTTTCCATGTGTCCCACATGGGAACTCAAAGGCTTAAACCTGTGTGTGAGTCACACCAATGACACAATTTTTCATCCAAAGGTGATTTTTAATCTGCAACCTGCTCTGTTTGTGCTGACGGACGTCAGTGGAAGTGTTTCCATCGTACTGTATACTATCAAGGCTTATGTACATGTAAAACTAACTGTATATATTGTTCACTTATTGTCTGTTTTGATGTTCAACCACTCGACTCAAGTAATCTCTTGTATGATTTATATCTTTTGTGATCTGTGTTTTTCAATGTGTTTTTTCAAAGATGGAAAGCTGCATCACAAATTTGAAGGTAATTAAACTTATGCCAACTCTAAAAATGGGTGAATAAGTTTGTTGAAATATTAAAAAAGAAAGGGACTGTCCTTTTTCACTCAAACTAAAGGAAGGATGGGATGAAAAGGTACAATCTGATATCATTTATTTTGTCCGATTAGCTGTAATCTGTGTTTCATCTTCAGATTAAACGAACAGGCTTCGAACAGCAAAGAGGATCAATAACTAAAAAGTACCCCAAAACTAAGACGGTGGCAAATTCCACCGTGTCACACTTATTAGTCCCGGACTTGTTCTCCCCGGCGCATATTAATTTACCCAAGCTCAGGGCCATAGGATCTGGCATGAAACCAGCGGGGGAATTTCCTGTCATTCTTAATGTGGGGCAACCGTTCAGCAAGTTCAGGACAAGCCGGTGGGATGAAAGGGGCCGAGATGAGGATGGGGGGGTGGGGGGGGTGGGGGTGCTGGTTTTGGCTGCAGAGGCTGGAATCTGGTGCGAGGAGTCGGTGGTCCCACTGCAAACAGGTTGTCAGTGTAGTTTACCACTCAGGAATTGCATCGCTGCTCTTTTTTGGTGTAATAGAGAGGGACAGAAGACGTATCAGAGCCACACGTTCAGCATTTCACCTCTTGGAGGTTTAGGGGGAAATATGGAAAATAGACGGTCCAGCCACAAAACTGGGCACGACTGGTTTCCTTATGAAAAACCACAAATCGTCATTCTTTTTTAATTGTTTTTCTGTGCCCTGAGTGTGAAATAATCTGAAGTTCAAGCTACTTGTGTGGTCCAGAATCCAGAATACTGAGAAAGATGTCGCTTTGGTTACAGTTACAGCAACACGTTTTGTCTTACAGTAAAGAATCTGGACTACATTCTGCAAACGAAAGGTTATCATAAGAATAGAAAATCAACACAAATTGTGTATATATGCGTGCATAATATCTTGCATTCTAGTTTCTGAGCACATTTAAATGGCTAGACACATACCGAGACGTTTAAATCTAGCAAAGGTATAAATATGAAGCATGTATAATTCATATCTCTCAACTTAAATGTGCCAAAGTGCCTCCCAGTGCATAAATCATGCACGTCACACTTTTGCCTGCTGCAAAAAGATTAAAAGAAAAGTTTCAGATGACTTGCATGTGGAGGGTGGAAGATTGATGTGTCTGTCAGAGAGATTAATACATAAAAGTATTACAGGTGTTAATTACTGGCTTTGTGTAATGAATTTATCCAAAAGGAGCATTTGAAACGGACAAAAATCTAAATGTGCTACAGCGGTAAAAGGACCCCAAACAGTTTAGTAACAGATGTTCTTGATAATAAGCTCTTCAAACAAATGGATGTTCATTTGTGACTCGTTTTAAGTACTTTTCATGTTTATTCTCCGTTTTGAAAAAAACAGACACAAATTGTACCTTCAAAGTTGGGTTGTTAAAAAAAAAAAAAGTGTAAAACTAACATGGTGAAAACCGCATACAGAACAGAGAAATAAAATAAAAAAAACGAGTTATTTTCACACACTGTAACAGTTCATATTGTTACAAGCCCTGCCCTGCCTCTTTAAAACACTGAAATCCTAAACATGAGCTGCAGAAAAAAGAAAATCTGCAAAAGGTGTTTCACTACTTGACATACCTGCAATAGGTAAGAAAAGGGGGAATGTACATCAGCCAATGAGGTTCAAACTTATTCTAACTTTACATTTCAACATAACCCAAACTTCTGACTGCTATAATCTGATAAAAACATCAGTTTTTCCCTTAAAATAAGAAGTGACTAAGTTTTAAAAGGGTAAATTACTCTTTCCCAATCACCTACTGACGTTAATAAAACTGTCTTAAGACCAACAAACAGCTTATTCAGCAATAATTTTGCCTATTTTGTTGCCAGAAATGACAAATATCTCTCTCCAGCCCTTTTCATGCAATTAGTTTTAATACTGAAATTGTAAAAATGTAATTCAGATTTACATTTGACAAACTTGAAACTGGTCAAATCTGTTTTCGGTGGGTTATTCTTCTTTGGCGGAGCGGCTTCACGCTGCTGAGAAGAAGTCCAAACCAGTATGGCTGTTAATTCCCGTGGACTAAATTTATCGAGAGGAATCTAAAGACTTAAACACAGTAAATGGTCAAATATGGGCAGATTTTTTTTTGTTTTTGTTTTGAAGGCATCAGGATTAACTTTGGAATGTCTATCAAACACAGAGGTGAACTTCGAGGGCTCGTTTCACATCACCATCCTGATGTGGAAACATCCTGATGTCAGTCCACTCAGCTCTGTAGAACTCTACCCATTTCCTCTGGGTACTCTGAGTTTACTCCCTCCACCTTAATGTGCACCAACAGCTTGTGTCGAGGTCACTTTTCGCCGTCTGAACGTTAATTCTGCAGAGACAAACCAGCGGGACATTCTGCAAAAGACCGAACTGGAATAACTCAGATATGCTGAATCGACAGTAAATCTTACCTCTTTTTTTACATTCTTCACATCTGACGGTGGTGAGGAGGGTTGCGGACTACATTTAAAGAGAGAGAGGAAGATGTTAAAATCTAATGGTGGTTCATTCGCTGTTAATAAACTATGCATTACAATAGAGGAGACAACAAAGATAAACTCTCGGATTAGACTCCCACATCTACAGGCTGGATGGGACCTTAACTTAGCTCATTCATGCTAATTCTAACACTGTAAATGTGTTTTCTTTCCCCTCACTGACGATTCCACCGACACAAGAGGAAGGAACCTGATGTGAGCCAACATGAAAGAGGCCATGCGGAAAAAAAAGATCACCCACCGAGGACAATAATGAGGTTTTGAAGTGTTTTATAGTCACTTCTCGGCCAAATTCATCAAAACTGCCACATCTGTTTAGTCTTAACCTAAATCTAACTAGAACCTTGACCCTGAAACCAAGTTCTAGCTCTCAAAGGGGAATCTGGGTCCCGTTTGGTTTCCATAGTGATAAAGGGTAACCTGAGGTCATGGTATCAGATTAGAGTCGCTGCTGGGATATAGATGCAACCCACACAAACAACTCTTTGAGCATGGGTAGCGAACGCCAGGATTAAGTCAGATTTATTTTCTCTATAAAACAGTCCACAGCACTTTAAACCTGAATGTGCAGAAGTTTACATTCACTCAGTCGGTGGGTTGACGGGTGTCTAAGCCTGAAAGGTACAAAGAAAAAGAAAAGATTGCACATACCTGCCAACTTTCCTGGAGGCATTCTCAAAAAACTTGGTTTTGGATGCAACACTGCAGAGCAAAAAAAAAAAAAAAACAGGTCAGTAGATAAAGACGAGATAAATTTCAGATAAGAAGCCTCTTGGGAGGTTTCTGTCAGCAGGTCTCACATTTCAAAAGTGTTTAGCTGACCACTGCAGAGGTTCAGGATCTAAAAACTCGTTTTTTTACCTCTAAATTGTACATATAGCCTACATTTACAGCTGCTTTGGGAAGGTTTTGATCACCACAGCTGGCGTTGGATCAAGTTCCACTGGAAGCTGGACTTTGCAAATCTGACCGATTTCAAGGTGGTCTCAATAATGCATTTTATTGTTTTTATTTAAATGCCGGCTAATCCTGAAACCAGGCATCGGCGCCCCTCTATGGACCCCCCGCCCGCGTACCAACCAGCCTGAGTCTGCACTTACTAAGACGTGGGCGTGGCCTCGCCGGGGGGCTTCTGCGGGGCGGGGCCCCTGGAGGGGGGCTCGGGGGGGCGGCCCGGGGGCCTGCAAATGGGGTGCTTCTCCGCTGACCTGGCTCTGGTCAGACCATCGGAATCTGCTGTGAGGCAGAAAGAGAGCGGCAGAAAACTTACTGCAGCAGAACGGGAGCGCCGGGAAACCCGCAAAGCGGCGGACTGAAGGATTTCTGAGGCGTTATGTCAGAGTAGTGATCGTTTCAGGGCGATTCACTTAAAAAGTACGACCCTTCAAAACCTGAGATTGTAAAATCATTGCAAATATGATAAAAAATTAAAAAACATGGAACATGGCACATTTCCATGAATGTAAACCGAGAAGATGATCATCAATCCCTAAGGATATTAAATAAAAGTAAAAAATTAATTGTGCAAAATGAAAAAGAAGGGTGTGGACACATGCATTAAAACGTTTTCTACAAAGCCAAAAAATTCGATGTGATGCTGACATTTGTTTTTAGAGACCAGGTAATCTGTCAGGTGTCAACAGGGCCAAAATGGACCAAAATGGTCCTAAGGGGATCCTCAGCAGAGACTGGAACATCCACGGACAAGACCAGTAAAAGCTAAAGTCTCCACAGAACTGGACTTCACAGAAGAGTGGACATTAACACAAACATGATAAAAGAGGGTGGTAATCCCTCCTTTAACTTCATTATAACTATTCTGTGTTTTTGCCATCACTTTTTAAGATCATGCAACAGAGACTAAAATAGTGTTAACCGTATTATTTGAAAGATAAAAGGTTCTTCCTACCTTCCCGGTTGGCTGCTGAGCCCTTTAGGGACGGTTTCCTGCTTTGAAATGACTGCGCCCTGCTCACGCCGACCCCAGACTCCCCGTTCGCCGCCGAGAAGGAATCCGGCTTCTGCCTCGCCTCGCCTGTCCTCACATCAGAGTCCGTCTGTCTGTCCGGAGGATTGGACTGTTTGGGCATCAGAGCCATCCTGGGAGGAGGCTCTCTCGGAACAAGTGGAGCTCCAGTTAGAGATTTGTTTCTCTTTAAGGGGACGACGCTCGCCGAGACGTCCGTGTCCTTGATGGAGGCGTCTTCCTGACCATCTGTTGTGGAAAATAAAATGAAAAAAACACATTTAAGGTTCTGTATCTTTACACTTCAAAACAACATGAATGTTTTCCTCTGTGATGTTCGGATCATGCAAAGGTTAATTAAGGTTCACTACAGTAAAATGGTCTGATCAGCCCACCGAATGCCTTCAGCTCTAAACTAGTTGCTTGGAGTTATTCAGAGATGCTAAAAATCACAATAAAGGCAGAACAGGCTTCATATGCACACAATTTCTAACCCACGTCTGTGCAGCTGCAGTCTCTATCACTTAAGGAGGGATGAGACAGACAGAAAATGATATCGTTTAACCTGACATGGTCAAAAAAGACTAATGTGAGATAAACATGTAAAGTAGATGCATTTATTTGTACTTGATATGAGCTTTTAAAAGAGTCAAATCATTAAAGGAGAATACACGATGGAGCGGGACAAAAATATACAAAAAATATTTAATTTGACAAAATATGATAATTGCTATAATGAAAACACACACTTCAATAAATCCCATTTAGGAAATTTCACGAGATGATCCCGCATGAACTCCGTAGTACAAGTTTTTATTAAAAAAAACAACAATCAGCAGAAAAACAAGCAAACCAAAACGGTGAAAAAACAAACAACAAAAACAAAAAAATGAAAAAGCAAGCTCTGCCCAGACGGGACGGGATAATGATGAGGACGGAGGCTAATAATTACTCTCTGTGAGCTGGAACTGGTCGTGACTCAGAGGCTGGTGGGCCCGAGCGGGTCTCTTGGAGATGGTGATGGGCTGCCGTTTCCTCGGGGTGATGCGTGGGGGGGGCACGGGGGGGGCGCTGCTGTCCTCCGGCAGGCAGCTGAAGATCTGCAATCACAGGAAAAGCCTTAAAGTATGCAAATGAAGGAATCGGGACAAGAGCTGGAGCTAGTGGGAACTGCAGGATTAAAAGATGTCGGACATCTACGGGTCAGTGAAAGCATCACATCTCTGCAACTCTTTGCCTCTGGAGCTTAAGTCACAGACTGATGTTCCACTTTTCTCCACAAGATTGAAAAAATGGCTCAAAGACAGTCAAGAGTGTGAGCACTAAACTGGCTTGTACTGTACAGTTTGTTTTAACTTCTCTTGTTTTTTATGCATCTGTGTGTCGTTACTAACCTCCCTCCCCCCTTAATGCTAACACCTTTTAAAAGCCTAACCAGGGACAAAGGCTGCAAATTAGCCCATGGCTACAAGCCTTATGTACTTGGACATCGGCCACCTGTTTGGTTGCAATGTTTAATTGTACTGTCCCTGTCAAATGAATGAATGAATGAATGAATGAATGAATAAATAAATAAATAAATAAATAAATAAATAAATAAATAAATAAATAAATAAATAAATAAATACAGTGACTCTTCAGCTAAATCCAAATGAAAAGAAGGATGGAAGCTGCTGAGGCACACGATAAGGTCAAAGCTACGTTATTCCTGTGTGGTAAAATGATAATGTTCCTCTAGAAAAAAAAAAAGAGCAAAAGTACGTGGGTAGTCACCGACTCCAAAACAACAGAGAAAGTTCTGTGCTGCACAAAAACACATTAATAATAACCATTAGCAGGATAATTGGTGAGTTTGCCTCTGTGCAAGTGTTTTATCTCGACAAGTCGGTGTGAAAAAAAAGAAGAAATCCCTGATGAAATCATTTTAATTCATCGTGTTTTGAGGGATTCATAAAAAAACAAGAGTCCGCATCACTAACGACTTGGAGAAAATTCCAGGAGCGCGGCCAAAAGATAGCTGGTAGAGGGTGGATTTCCATTAATTTAAGATAAGCCAGGTTAGGCATTTCTTCTTTTAGCAGTCGTAACGCTAAAATAGATGATACACTTATCGTATCTATTCCACAACTGTAACAACGTAGTTTCCTTACAGGGAAACGCAAGTGATAAAATGAGAAACGATCAAACTGTTCCCCGGAGCTGGATGAAAAATATTTTGGCTTCAGCTCTACCTTTTTGTAGTCTTCAATCAGAATCTCGACCACAATGTTTTGGAACTTGATGTCAAGCATGGCCGCCACCGTCTCCTCCTTTGCCCTCATGAGCGTGGGTCCAAAGATTACCGCCATGTTGGAGGGAGTCATCAGGTTCTCATCACTGTGGCCGCACACACTGCCAACAGAGGCCAAGCTGGGGTGAATAACATGTAACTAAACACAGGCAATCGCATCTCATCTGAGCTCATTTCAGAGGCAGAAAAAGAGTTTCCAGGCAGCAACAAAAAGGCAAAAGTGGGCTGTGGGCACTCACTTCACCAAGTGTGTAATGAGCATCCCCAACATCTCCCGATTCTTCTCCGGGAGTTTGTAGGTGAGAGAGTGAATTTCGCTCAGTCGAAAGTCCAGATTATCCGACTCTGTAACAAGAAAAAGAACAAGTCCGAACGCTTTCCCTCTTCAGTCACAAATGCCACGAAAAGAGAGTGAAATAAATCATAAAGAGTATCCAAAATAAAGTAATTTATTTCATTCACACGTTCTTTTTTATTGTGTTGACAATGGGATGTAGCACAGCGGAGGGAAGCAAATGCCAGAGCGATGCAAATCCAGATATCAACTTCACAGTTAAAGGTAAGGGCAATAGAAAGTTCCAAAAAATGTCCCATAAATCAGAAAGAGAAAAGCCAGCAGAACCAGGATCAAATATCTGAGCCCAGTGAGAAAAGCTGAAGAATCAAGGAAACTTATGTTCTGTTTAGTGTGTTAGCTCTTTCTTTGGGCTAAAGTTGCCCCTGAACACACAAAAACACATAGGTGTGATGTTAATTTCCTGGGCAATTTGGGAAAAGGTTGATTATGGATCACCATGCACAAGCTGTCAGTATGGACCTAAAACACTAATTGAACAAGCCAAATAAAAATCTAGATTAAAAACGGTCATTTTAATGGGATTTCAAATCTTCATCGTATTACACACGGAGCCAAACACAATCCCACTGCAATAAAGAGTCTTCCAAAAGCCAGGACGTGTAAGGAGAAGCCCCCTAATGAACGGCATTCCCAGCTGCATTAGTGCAACTTCCTGACAGAATGAGGCTGAGCTCGTAAAACTTCCCGACTTCCCAGTTTTAGAGTATTGTATTGTAACCCGCAAAAAGCTTCGGATCCCTGTCTTACTTGCAGCACACATGAGATCTCTGTGCAGATCGTAGGTCATTAGAGGTTCAGACAAACTCCTGTGGATGAAAGCAGAAACATGAGTAAACACGAGAGCATTATAATTCCAAACATCTGGCGCAAGAAAGTCAACCAAGAATCTGCCTGTTATTCAATCACTAGACTAAACTACACGATTTGGAAACAGCATATTGTTTAAAACGCAGGAAAAATCAAGATTTCTCTTTAAGAAAAACACAAATGTAAAATGATATAGGTTCAAAATGTTTTTCATAACAAATCCCTCCCTGCATGTCGTAAACAACATTTTTGGTATTCACACACAAACACACCTCAGATAAAACTTCAAGGCACTGGTGACGGTTTTACTGTCCCAGTCGCTGCTATGGAAGTCCACGTCTCCTGGATTCGTCGGGTCTGTAGAAAAAAAGAGGAACACTTAGAGCCATCAAAGTCCCTGTGACCTGTGCTGCATTATCTCCTGTAAAACAAAGGAGCACAGGACACAAGCTTCAAGCTGAGATGTTAAAAAAAAACCCTAATGACTAAAAACTAAAAGTGACAGTTGTCCACTCAGTAAATATAGTTATTTTTGGCTACAAAAAAAACCAAAATGGTGACAGGCTAACAGGTGGTTGATGTCACAGATGTCCACTTCTTACATACAAAGCTGGCCGTTTGCCTATTTAAACATCAAACAAATAGAAAGAAAAAAAAACATTTGTGTTGGCACCTTCTGACTGACTGCAGCTAAAAGTTGAACTTAATCGAAAAAGAAACTCAAGGAAAAGTACACCCTCCAGCTGCAAACCAGACGAAGAAAGAAAACTTTGACTGACCAAGAGGATCTGTCATTATGAATGAGCTAATTAAACTAATCTTAACCGCGTCGTAAACGTTGTTCTACTCTTTAGAAACACCCTCTGTGACTGTCTGGCTCGACCAAATGTTTAATGATGTATTGCCTTCTGCGAGGTGCTTTTAATCCTCAAAGTTTACACCGAGATGAGCAGTTTAGGAGCAGTAAAAGACGTAGTTCGATGGGCATTCCCTGGTGCGGAGCACATAAAATAGACCTGCATCACAAGCAAACTTTCCCAGTAGTTGCAACTTTCTGTGTTGACAACTTTTGGCCCACAAGAGATACCACAAACCTGATTATGGGCCTCCATTTCTAAGACAACTCTGGTCTTCTCTGATATGCTACATGACCACCTTCACATTAAATACAATAAGGTGGTTTTCAAAATGGCGGCCATGTCATGGACATAGCATGGCCCTCTGTAAATTCTAACTAAATTATTGGCATTTTCATATAACTTTTTTTTTGTTCTCTCTCTCTCTCTCTCTATATATATATATATATATATATATATACACACATACACATATAGTTACATATGTATATATTTTATTTATATTTTGTGTGGAATTGGGTATATATATATACACATGTATATATGTACATGCTGTTGTATTTCTGTAGTTAGCAACAAAAATAAGTTCCCTCTAGGATTATTAAAGTATTTCTGATTCTGATCAAAACAGGCAGTGGAACGTTGTATTCATTATTCAATCATGGTTGTATTCTCATATATCAACAAGTCTAACATTTCCATGTGATCCAGCAGGCTTAAAAAAAAACAAAAAAAACCTCCTGCCTCTGGATCTAGAAACCCTCTCTGCTGCTATGTTGCCTACAACTGCCCACACGCTGCACAGAAAGCTGCAGATCGAGTTAATTAGTGTGAATGAGGGAAACCGGGCGAGTGTGTGCAGATGAAGCCCACGTTCAGACGGACTTCCTTACCAAAGAAGGCATTTAGGAGCTTCTGCACTTGGATGTTGCTGCCAACTGTTCTGTAAACTCCTTCTTGTGTGGCTCCTGGACCGAGAAGAGGGGGAGTAAAGAGAAAAAGAATGTAAATTTGGACAAATTCTGTACAGTGGAAATGTACCAAATGCTTCTTTTAAGACTTGATCCGAGACAGGAAAAGGATGTTCTTCCCTTTATTTAACTGCCTAGTTAGAAAGAGGTTCACTCAAATAACAAGCTTGTGACTCACAATTACAATGCAGAATTAAAACCAGTCACATTAAATGTATTTTGGTTTCGGGGTCAGAGTTTTGCTAAAAATACAAAAAAAACAGTCTCATGAAATGACTGAAACAAAGAAAAAAAAACTTAATTTACATACTGACATAAACTGATATACACTTAGATTTGGTCTCCAGCATTGGACTCAACTCTACCCCCAACAGGCAAACAAGTAAAGTCATGCATGGAAAGACGGCACTGAACATTTACCTTTAGTTTCAACGTAATTGATGCATTTTCTAACAAACTTGAAGCCAGTTTCATTCAGTTCCACTGTGGAAACAAAAAAAGTTTTTGAAAAAGAGCCCATTTTACAAAAAAATAACTTTATCACACCTTCAGACAAGGGAAGGGAAAAGAGGACTTACTTTCAGCTTGCTTGTGAATTGGTGAGTGATAAATCTGAAAAATAAAAGAAATTGGAGCATGAAGGCCATGGAGCATGTGGAAAAAATTACCACTTTGATGGATTACATCTTTTTTTAAATGGAGGGGGGAAGAAAGCAAAAGGAAAATGTTGTAAATGGTTCAAGATAACAAATCCAATCCAACAAATTATTCAGGTCAGTACACGAGCAGCATTTTGTGGTAGCTGCTTCAACAAAGGAGATTAATACCAATGATTCAAAACAACCAAAGAGAGGGAAAATGATGCATTTCAACCCAAAACAACAGGTTTGCCACAAGAAAGGCAGAGTGAAACCAGTCAGTCTCTACCACATGAGGCGGTTTTTAATCAGAGAAGTGTCTGACCCTCCCTGGAACGGCTCTCCTCCTCCCACCTGTGAGGGGCGGCAGGTCAGGGCCGCTGCAGAGCAGCTGCACACAGACCCGTCTTGTTCAGGGACTCTGGAAAGGGGCGAGGCATTCGTTGTCATAGATAGAAGTGAGCTGAAGTCACTGAAGTTAAGCGTTTTATGTTCAAATCGAAGCTTCGGCCATGGCAGGTCTAGTGAACGGGTGAAAGCTTTAAGGGGAGGCCAAAGTGATTGATCACCAGCAGCTAAAACTGAGCTTTTTTCCCCACCGGCTTTCATATAACTTTCCTCTGTGGCTTACTAGGTAATTGCCAAACCGTTCGGTTACTCGGGAAAGTCTGGAGACGTTTTACTCTTACTGCCAAATATTCCAGACTCTAAGCGCACAATAGCTTCTTATTTGCGAAACGTGAAACTTGTTGGATTTGAAATGTGCAAAAATGTGCCAAAACATGGTCAGGAACTGTGATATATCGGTCTAGTTCTGCCTCCAAAGTCCCTGAATGTTTTTTCAATGTGCAAAGGATCACAGAAATAAGACGGTGTACATTTTCAGCAGATCTGGGCAAAAGACCTACTTTCATTATTGATCTGCCGCTAAATTGGTTATTTAATCAGTTGTTTTGCCACTAAAATATGCAACTACAATTACATATGACAGTTATACACATCTATTCAGAAATTATAGACGGAAATGATCAACGGACTTAATTTCTTGCTGAAGTCGAGAAACTAAGGGAAAATTAGATAAAAATATAATTCCAAAGGGATATTGTAAAATAAAAAATGTACTAAAAATTGTATCTTGTTGTATCAGGAAATTAGAGAACCTGCAGATTTGTGGACCCTCTGCTTGAAAACTTTGGCACAAAATTAAATGGAAGAAAAGCTAAGTGGGACTTCTGTAATATGAGGGAGTTTTGGGGGAAGTTTCACAAGCAGCGGGTGCAGAAAAGTGTGCCTTTTGTTATTTTCACATCCTTTGCTTTGTCCGCAGCATTCACCGAGACCCGGCTCGCAGAAAACATCTGTTACCAACTACAAAAGCTGTAAGCAAAGTGGTGTTCATGACCACAACTAAAAGAGGAATTGCATTTTCTTTTCTTTTCTCCATTTTTGCTGGTGAAGCACTTTGGCGTGTCGCCGCTTCAAACCGGCTGAGCGCAGAGAACGAGGGGGCAACAAGATGTCAGGTTCAACTTGTAAAACTCAATTAGCCTCACGGCGTGATTCTAAAAGCCTTAACGCGATATCAAAATAACCCTTTGTGTGTGCTGTAAGAGGTAAGGAGAACACCTGGGGCCACAGAGAGGCTGCACTCAGACATCTTAAGGCACCAAAAAATCCAAACATTATCTCACAAAGTCTTGATGAATGCTGTTTGAGGACATCTAACACCTCATTAATGACAAAGGTCTGCCAGCGGTTCACATAACATCAGTCATGACTAAAGCTTTATCCACAGAAATAAAGAAAGAAAGAAAGAACAGGCGGCTGTTTCTGATTTAACACCTTTGTACCACAGAGGAAAACTCTGGTGTAACATTTTCTACTCAGCTTGACCTTAAATGAGAAGCAAAACAGACTCACGGGCTCCTTTCCATCCATGGCCTCCATCCACAACTTCCTGTCTCCCTCCGAAAGAGCCTGGAAGGTGACGGGCGTGTTTCTATGGCGACCGAAAGAAATTATATTAAAAGGGCCAGAGGTTGTCGTATGATTATGCACTTAAAAGGATTTACCGGGCAGCATTAGCATACCACTGTGAGATGCTTTGTTAGAGTCGGAAATAAAAACACGTTTTTTAAGTAAAGCAGATTAAACAACACAACAAGAGCGCCCCAGGAATTTAAAACATCTCTGAACTATCTGATGACGTCCCACGTGGGGCCTGAGATTAATAAGACAGGCGGAAAGAGAGGAGGAAAAGAAACAACAGAATCGGGAGCCAGATTTCACCGCTTTTGGGGCTGACGGATCAATTCTTAACTAAAACAACTGTGCAGCGAGACGAGAGCTCCTTCTGCCAACTGCACTGGTCATAAATAAAACCCAGAATAACCCGGAAGAAATGTAATAGACAATGTAGTTTCACACTTAAATAGATTACCCTGATTTAGATGCTATCTTTGATTGTTTTGATTGACACAAACCACCTAAAATGAGCACCTGAGAGAGATATCTGGGCATAAACTCCTCCGCTTTGTTGGGGTGTTCCCCGTTTGTTTGCTCCTTTGATCGTAGGACCAGAGGCACCGTGGGCAGATCTGAATCTGAGGAGGTCTCCGTTTGCCTGAGCGGCACCTTGACCTCGCAGCAGCTCCTCCTCCATTAGACTGCACTGCCACCTTGAGTTTAACAAACACCGGCTCCTCCTAGCTTTCGGCTCGGAGAACTTTTCCTGCCGCTGCTGCATAATTCAAGCTGTTTTCGGGCCTTTCGAGAAGACTCGTCACGCCGTCAACTGTTTCCTCAAATTTCAAGGGGAAACAAAACTCTGCTAAGTGTCAGACGCCCACGGCTTAATTATCTATTTAACCGCGTCCCGTTCCAAATAGCCTGCTTACAGGGATATCGGCTTGTTGTGTTCCTTCCCCCCCTGTGCCACCTGTTTCCATGCCAGTCCCGGGCTCAGGGACTGTTTGGGCTTTGGCCCAGTCAGCCTTCACACTTTGTCCTTCCACGCCACCTGCTAACGTCGACCCGTTTGTCCCGCGAGGCCGTTGCCTGATCGCACGCTTTTTTTGCAGGTTTTGTTTGTTGCTAACCTCTCCACGGTCTCCACGTCGAAGCAGAAGCGCTTGTCTATGGACTCCGTCTTCCGGCGGATGCAGGATTTCAAAGTGAGCTGCGTGGGACCCTGAAGGAGGGGGGGGAAAAGATGGCGGGTGAGGCGGTAACCGGGTAGAAAACACACCGAGGGGCACCGGTTCTGGTTCGCCTTTTTAAGAAGAGGACGCACCTGTTTGGTGGCAGGCTTCTGTTCACAAGGCACCATGATCAGCCGGCTGCCCTCCTTGTGGTACCTGCAATAGTATTTGACCCACGACACCCCCAAAGCCCCTGGAGGAACAAAAGATACAAGATAAGTCTCTGGAAGTATCTAAACTTTGTGGAAAAAAACCCAGGAAGCATCTAAACGACGTGGGAAAAAAACACAGGAAGCATCTAAACTTCGTGGGGAAAAAAACCCAGGAAGCATCTAAACGAAGTGGAAAAGAAACCCAGGAAGCATCTAAACTTCGTGGAAAAAAAACCCAGGAAGCATCTAAACTTCGTGGAAAAAAAACCCAGGAAGCATCTAAACGACGTTGGAAAAAAAAATAAGAGGACGCTCACATTTCTCCTGACAGTTCAGGTATCCCTCCATGGGCATGGAGCTGTGCATTTTGGAGATCTGGGAGGGGCGTTTCATTCGTTTCATCAGCTCCTCCAGCTCCTCACTGGTGCTCTCGTAGTGGTTTCTCGTCTGCAGTCAAAACCAAAAAAAAAAAAAAAAAGCCACCCAGAGGTTTCCGGCTTTGAGAGGAGATTGAATCCCAGTAAAACGGCGGCGGCGGCGCTTACGTTCTGCAGACTGAGCTGCAGCTCCTGCTTGTAGGGCATGAAGTCCTGAGTCATCTCCACCGTCAGGTTGTTCAGCGTGAAGATGCTGTGGAGAAATGCCAGCACCTGTGCGGCCCCCCAGCCCGGTTACAGCACGTCTTGAAGACCCCCCTCTTCAAAGAGCATTTCCTATCCTAATCCTAATCCTAACCCGTACCTCTACCCCCCACAACTCCTTCTGTAGTCCCTTTACCTCTATCTCTATCTCACCACTGACTCTGATCAGTGTTTCTCCTCTGTATAGCTTATTGTCATAGTGATGAGAAATGTAATATTGTGTCGACTCTGTAAGTTGCTTTGGATAAAAGCGTCTGCCAAATGCATAAACATAACAAACATAACATAAACACGTCAACAACCACCCCCTCGGGTAAAATAAATGGCCATGAAAAAAAAAGCAAGATGGCGGGAGCAACTCACCGGCTCCACAACATCAAACTTCTTCCTGTCCTGGACCTCATGGATCTGGTAGACGTACTCCACTGACGATTCGTAGAAATTCACTCGCTCTTTGTCGAGAAGATCGTCAGCCTGGGGTCATAAATCAGAGACCCGTGGAAAAATGTAAGGAAAGGCGGTCTCAGTTTAACATTTCAACACGGATCTGAAGCTTTTATTCCACCTCTTGTAGTTGACTCTCTTTCCTCTTGGCAGAGAGACTCAAGTGTTTATCTAACTGGGAGTAAAATTTTTCACTCTCTTTCTCGAACTTCTTCCTCTTTTCCTGCAGGACGGGTAAAGACAAGAGAGGACAGTCAGATTAAATCAAGGAAAATAAAAGACAGAAACAGTAACTGTCCACGTAAATCAGGAAGTCCTCTCAGGAATGATTCGGATCGAGGGAACTAATGAAAATTAAATACTGCCATATATTTTTAAACATGTATTTATTATGAACAAAGAGTCAAGACTAGTTTTACACATAAATATCCGTTTTTGACCCATTCCCCCAGTAAAATAGCAGCAGCATATTTCATATTCTATATGAACTGAAAATGAAAGATGCAATTATTTTTAAAATCCGGTGACAAAATTCTCTTATTTTAGAAAAACTGATTTTCTTAAACCTTTAATAGTTCTGAGCTAATGAGGGAGAGTTCCTGTTAATCTACTTTTGTTCAGAACATGGATGTTTCACACACAACGTATGCAAACTGGGAGCAAAGATTTGGGGAAGTCGCTTAATACATCCTGTTAGGTGCGTGGGGGCGAAGCCTTTGTAGCGATCTGACTCATGTGAGGAAATCCATGTAATAACAATGTTCAGAAGGCTCTACACGGGCGATGCCGACCTGTGAGCCGACTCCTTTTGTTCAGGGGGAAACACCCAATTAATAGAGCCGATTAAAAAGCAACGGCACTCACTTTTGTGACTCCTATCTGCTCCTTTCTGAACTTCTCCAAGGGCTTGATGAGCAGATCAGAAGCATTCTGAAACTGGACAAGAAAACACAAACACAAAGTTAATGCAAAGCCGCGAAAAGAAACTCCACGGCTGTGTGTTGCTAGCTGGTCCGTTATTAAAACCATAACAGAACTGAGCTTTATAGTGATTAAAAAGGAAAAACTGTCCTCAGGAGATGATTCTCATGCAAATAAAGCTCAAACCATCACATGACGTGCGGTTGGAAGATGAGATTTGTACGTAGAGAATCCGGTTTGGCCGGAAAAACTTGACCTATCGGTATTGCTTACTTTGTGTTAAAAAAAAAAAAAAAAGTGATCAAAAACATATGAGAAATGCATCAACAGAACAATATGGAACCATTAAAAAAAAGGAAGAAGAATACAAAGAGAGGAACTGAAACCAAAATAATTCCCAGAGTGGCTCTTAGCTGTGCCACGCAGTTACACAATCTACACCCCCCCGTGTGTGAACTGGGACTAAATTCATAAACCTAATCAGCCGCTTCATAATGCACTTGAACGCGTCTAATGAGGGTTCAAAAGGGATGCAGAGTCAGCTTGGAGGAAGCTGATAACCCACCAGCATCATCCTGTCGTGCTCCACTTCCTGCAGAAGTCCGGCAAACTCCTGGAATGACTGAGCTGCCGGAGAGAAAAAAAACACGGATGACTACCAGAAAGATCAGTGAGCAGCTTAATGTTTGCAGGAAACACACTCAGTGAGACTCAAAGGGCAGAAAACTCATTTTCTCTGGTCTTAACACAGGCCCCTGAACATCTCCGGCACATGAATTAAGCTCAAAGTGGGGTAAATCTTTTCAGAAATGTTAGCATGATGCCATTTCGAGGCAAACCCAACACTTCCCCCAGTCCATGTGGAAAACTTTGTTAACCTCGAGTCTAATCAGAAATTAGATTGTGCGTGCGTCAGCTTTTCTGTGTTATTTTACCGATGTTAATCTCATCGTCCGTCAGGGATTCACCGATGAAGTCGAACTGGAACGCGCTGAGAGTTTGGGAAAACTTCTGCACAGCCAAAGAATAACCTGTCAAAAAAAAAAAAGAGAAAGTTTATTCCTTTTATACACAACTGAAAACAGGAGTTGGATCAAAAGCGGCTTTGCCTTTTTTCCCCACTTTTCCACAAATTCAAACCGGCTCGTGAACCGTAACTTTATTCTAACTTAATATAAAGTATGAAGCCCATCATTGTCTGCCAGTCTGGGCTGGACGCGATAATATCACCCCAGATATGTCTGGCTTTTATTATCAAATCAAACGGAGGCCGGTGGGTCGATACTGTGCTGCGTTATTCCCGGAAATGCTTCGAAACTGTAAACAAAGACAGAAATGAGAGGATGTCTCATCTATAATACGACGGTTTGGGCCCGGGGTCACTTTCCCGGGGGGGGGGGGGGTCTTGTTTTTGGTGCAGCAGCTGGTGACCTCCGGCCTTATCTGGAGCACCTACAATGACAGTTTCTGTTTCCGAGGTGGAAAAGCTCGTCATTCAGCGCCTTCTCAGACAAAACGGGCAGTGTTTTTGCCCCTGTGGGTGTCACGCTGACCCCAACCCTAAACCCACAGTGGTCAGGCTGTCACGGGGGGGGGGGGGGGGGTTCCTCCTGCACATCTGCATCAGATCCAGACCTCTCAACGCCCACCTCTTGTCTCTTCCCAGAGGAAGGGGACCCTGAACGCATCTTCCACTCATCCAAACTGATCCTACAGGCCCTCACAAAGGCCCTCTGGAGCTGGAATTGACCCCCCCTCACCCCTACCCCCCTATCCCTCCATCCCAGAGCCACGACATGCAAAAACTGAAGTGGACATTAAGATAGAAGACCTTAGAGAGCTCACCCTTGATGGCGGAGATCACGCTGTTGCCGTCTTTGATGAGCTCTTTGAGGAATTTGCTGGTCCGGTCCAGCTCCAGCTCGTAGCACTTCAGGGACTCCCTGAACTCCGGGCTGTCCTTGTAGCAGTCGCTGAACTCCAGAGGAGGATGCCCCATCTTTGTGGGGACGATAAGAAAAACGCTGCGTTCGGGGTTTGTTGTTTTTTTTCTCCAGGCACGCGACCTACCGCGCGCGGGCTGGCTCGTGCTCGGGGAAAGCTTTACTCTCACGAACCATGGTGTCCGGGGGAGCCTTTTGCTGGAGCCACCGGGGGAAAAAAAGCAACCTCACTCCAGCTGCACTTCTCTTTTCTTTCCCCCCTCCTTTTTCTTCTTCTGCTTCTTCTTCTTCTTCTTTTCGACGCGCTGTTGCGCTTTAATTGCAGCCGGAGCCTCTTTGCCACTTTTTCCTCGTTATTGTTTCGTGATGAGCGGACTCGGAGCGGCTAAATCTCCTCCGGACGCGTCCCATTAAAAAACACCTCCCACTTTAGCCCCACTCCGTCCCTTTTTACGTCGTTTAGAGCGACGTTAGCTAATTGTCGCTAACTGCTAGCTTCTAAGCCGGTGATTAAAAAAACCGTTGGCGTGTCTTATTTTTAAAAAAAGCCGTTAAGAAAAACATTTAAACCTCTTTGGTAGGAAACGAGGACTTGGAAAACCACGCAATGGGCCGGAACCAATTGGCTATGGACGCAGAAAAAACATCCCATTTTCCACACCCAGGAGCTTCTTAAAGG